CTGTCGTCCCGATTGCTGCTCCGTGCGAAGCTCGGTGTGTACAAGGCGTACATTCGCACCCGACTCACCTATGGTGCCCCGGCTTGATTTACGCTCCTCTCCGAGACGATCTACGCGTGGAAAGCCTGGATGACTTCGTGATACGCCTGAGTACAAGTCTGTTTGTACGTGCCGACGGCTTGAAGCCCACCACCTGCGGGAACCTAGCCCTACCATCGGCGACCGCTGGGCAGACATGTCCTGCCGCGAGATCTCGTCTAAGTGGCAATTCCCACCGGACCTTTCTCAACACCTTTTCAACCCAAATTTTCATCGCCTTTTTACGAAGAAATATATTATTTGAAAATTGTAGGTATTAAAAATAACTACAAAATGAGACTTGGTGCGTTCCAATTGGTTATTTTTTTTTACTACTGCTAAAAATCGTTGTTTATTGTATAATTTTTTAAATCGACAATTATAAATGTAGGCTTATCAAACCGGTCGGGGTACCAGGGATTTCCTTTCTAGGGTACACCTGGTTCCCCGGCTACTGGTACCCGAGACGGCGTGTGGTTTTTGGTCGGTTCGAGTACGACATATTCACCCCGGTGGGTGATATCCGAGGGGATTTCCGCACAGGGAAAAAAAAGGCTGATTACCGGTAGTATATGTGGGTTTTTTCTGGCGTAGTCCGTTGGATAGTTATTGCAAAAAGCTATTTATTATTTAAAAGGCACTTTTTTGCAACTAAATTATTACAGATTTCGAAAGTTGTACAATGTTGTATTTAGGCTCATTCCCTTCCTTAAGAGTTGTGCTTGCAATCTCTGTTTATCACTAAAGTTCTTTTTAAAGGGGGCCTTGGAAAATGTGTTAAGTACAAAAAAGTGCTTATTTGCAAAATGGAATAACAAGGTCAGTTTTTTAATGTAATCACTTTTTTTTGAGAAAACCCTACTTTTGCTGGTCTACGAAATACGTAGTAGGATGGAATCGCATTTCACACATAAGTAAGCGAAGAAACCAATATTTTCAATAAAAAAAAAAAAACGGTTGTCTGTAAAGTCGGTTTACTGACGATAGTTGAACGTGACAACGTCATAAGAAAATACTGATGGAATGGTTGCATTTTTCAAAAATGTATTATTGTATACGAGTAGCAGCTGTCCACGCGGACGCATCGCTCACTCAAGTAGGAGAGAGACAGATGTCGAACGCTGCCGAACGCGGAGGCCGATTGTGCCTCTTTGTCACTCGTTCCGCGCTCTCGCTTGCACTTTACGCCTTAAATGGAACGCCTCAGAGCGAGGTAACGCCGCATGAGTCATGTTTTTTCGTGCGTGCAGCCGGCTCCATCGAATTATAAGACGTTGTCACGTCAATAAAATTATGGTGGCATACACCACACATACATGTTTATAAACCGGATTAGATTAACTGATATTAGATTAAGTATTAGATTACAAATATATAATTAAGTATGGAATACCTACATTTTGTAGAATACTTTACCTATTATTTATGTCATTCTGCTTAGAAATCGCTATAAGACGTACTTTAAATTAAAAAGGTATAAGTTAGTAGACATGGTTTAGTCTGGTCTGTGAGTTTCTTTTATATATAGTTTAGTTTATAGGAGGGTGGCATCATGGAACCCTCTTATACCGGCTGACGCAGGTGATCACCGGGAAAGGATGCTTCGGAGATGTTCGCTCGGTAACATGATTGCCGCCATGGTACGGAGCGAGAGTGCGTGGAACTCCGCTGTCTCCTTCTGCGAGCAGGTTATGCTTGCGAAGGAGATGGTAGAGCGGAACCGGGAGAGGTTCAGAACTCTCTCGGCCCACCAGGCCCGAGAACGGGCCAGGTACCGCAGAAGACTCAGGCAACGGAGGTCGAAGAACGACTTCTATCCTCCATAAGAGCAGGTCTGACAGGTGAGGCCATCTCTCACTCTAGCAGAAGCAGGCCAGGGTGCGCACACCCTTCGGGGTCAGGAAGGGAATATACGGGTTCCCACACAGGAGGGGGTCATCTATAAGCCGTAGATGACCCGACGTACGTCGGGGTACCAGCCTTTCCTTTCTAGGGTATACCTGGTTCCCCGGCTACTGGTAACTGGAGACGACTTGCGGTTTTTGGTCGGTTCGAGTCCGATATAATCACCGACTGGTGCACCATTCGGTGCGGTACTCGAGGGGAGCTCTGCACGGAAAAAAAGAGGGAGCGCACGTAGCGACGCACAACGTAACAACTGGTTACATCTTCGTCCGCCTACAAATCCATCCGTCTGAAGTCCGTGACAAACTAGTGACTAAACTGTTAGAGTTGTGTAGCTCCTGAGTGAGTGATATGAAATATATATATCATTCACGACGATAAAATGTGTCACTCACTCACACTAGCTCCGAATATATCAGTAACTCAGTACTAGCTCACTAGATCATTAGATCACTAGCTCAACGACGCCGATCTTTGTTTCATGAGCGAGTGAGACTAACGATAAATGAGTGAGATAGATGATGATTGAGTTCACGCAAGTTTCTTTATGCAAAATGTACATTATTTCTATAGGATCAAAGTTTAATATTACTTAAGAATTAAGCCTGCCAAGTACAAGGAAAATCAAATTATGTTTGATTTCTATTATACAACCTAAAAAAAGTACAAGAAATAATTTCTTATTTTTAATTATTATATAAAAGGGTGTTAATAATTATGTAATCTTATCAAAATGAAAAAAATATATTAAAAAAAAAATAGGTTAAGAATGTAGTTTCAAAAACTGAATTTAGGTTAATATGAAAATAAAGAAAGGTTTGTATGGCGAGAGAGGCTTAAAGTGAGTGATATGCGAGTATACTGAGCTAAACGATCTAGATGAAGAAATGAATTAATTGAGAGACCAATCAATTTAATCGGATCAATGAGCTAGTGAGCTAAATGAGCTAGTGAGCTAGATGAGTGACATATATCTTTTGAGCGAAATGATATGTATCAATCTTTTCAGCTCATCATCATCATCATCATCAACAGCCTTTACTAGTCCACTGCTGGACATAGGCCTCTCCTTAGGAAGGAGGTTTTGGCCTACTATACCACGCTGGCCAGACGGGTTGGTATAGGGTTTGTTTCAAGTTTTCCTTCTCTCTGCAGTGCTGTTGTCCTGCGTAGTTTGCTTCCTTAGTCGCCTCTTACGACACCCACGGGATGAATAGGGGTGGTGACACTCTGTATTCTTAATCCGTCACCACACGGAGCTCAGTGATACATTTCGCGCATTACTATAAACTGTCACTACTAAATTATCACTGTCCCAGTGTTGTAAACAGTTACGTTAACTCTCCACCAGATTCAACATCTAGAACCACCAGAAAACCATTAATGAAAAACGGCCCTACTATGACAGTCGCAAAATTTTTTAACTAAACATTTTTTAGCTGTTACGACAGAAAACAATAAATAAACAATCATTATAATAAGTTTCCTCTATTATTACGTAATACTAATACCAACAATCAAGTCAAGATCTGGAACATAAAAAATATTAAAAAAAACAGTTACTTTTAAATTAATTCGTCTTCTTCAGGTGAATAGTTTTTTTCTGCACCATCATCGTCGAAGTCATTGCCCACATTTTTTACTTCTTTCTCCACTCCGGAACCTATCCCTCTCTGGCACATTATCCTATTGCCTAAAATTATTAATCATTCTCTTCCTGACCACTTCTTCATCCAACCACCAATCTCCATCCTTCTTTTCCTACTAAAGGTTTTTTAGGATTTGAACACGAAGGTGCAGCAGCGCAAGAGGCGGAGCTGTTGCCAAGAGACCCTTCAGGTAGCGATAAAGCGGGCCAAGAGTGAGGCCCGCAGCGAGCTGCTGAACACATTGAAGCGGGATCCGTGGGGCCGCCCCTACCGTATGGTTAGGGGCAAGATGCGCCCATAGGCTCCGCCGCTGACCCGGTGTTTTATGCCAGAGCTGTTTGAGGGGTTCGTCGGCTCCCTATTCCTATCGCGAGTGGTAGAGCATACTCCACCACAGATTGCTCCGCCTTCGGCGCTTGAAGCGCCTAACGTGGATGACAATGACGTGCCTCACAGAATTATTTGTCCTGGGTGGAATTAAACCCACGACCACCAGTTTAGCAGTCAGGGTCAATAAAAACTAGACCAATAGGCCCGTGGTATTGATTCCATAATTTGGAATGCGATCCCTCATCTTTGTGCCACAGACCCAGGTATCTAAGTCTAATGTTTGCCATGGTGGCCTCCTGCTGTATGTAGAAATCCAGACGGGGCAGGCCAAGGGCCACCTCTAGTGCGGCAGTTGGCGTCGTGCGCATACAGCCAGTGACCGCAGAGCATGGGAGTCGCTGGAATTACTGCAATTTGTTTATGACGATGCTTAGCTCTGTTATCTGCCACGAGACAATAGCACTGTAATTGATTATTGGTCTTATAACTGATGATATGAGCCATAGTGTAATCTTTGGTGATAGTCTCCAGCTTCTGCCGGGTAGCCGTTTGCATTGGCAGAAGACAATGCAGGCTTTGTTTGTTTTTTCATCGAGGTGCTTATTCCAAAGAAGTTTACTGTCCAGTATAACTCCTAGGTATTTGACCTCTTTAGTAAGAGCTAGTTGCGTTCCAAATAGCTTGGGAAGTCTTAGATTTAATAGACTACGTTTGTTTGTGAACATGATCATCTCTGTTTTTGATGGGTTCACTGTCAAGTTGTGTGTTACACACCACTGTTCAACGATATTCCGTGCTAGTCTCGTTTGATCTCATCATCGGGTATGATATGAATTGATGGTCTCTCATGGTCAGGAACACTGATTTATAAAGAAAACGGGGACAACAAGATTAAAAATTGGCAATAGTGCTTCGATCTGTCAATGTCAAGTCTGTTAACGGCAACACTGATTGAGCCTTTTTGTGTTTAATACAAAAAGAATATTTACTTTTTGTTTCTGTTTGTTCAGTTATTTTAAATAAATTTATATCTACGTAATGGCAGGCAACTTTTGGCAAAGTTCTCATCACCAACAATGGATATTAGATAAACAAGATCTAATTCGCGACCGCCAATACGATTTGGCTATATTAAGTGAAGAGGAGTATCAGAAAATATTCAATTTCTTCGCGAGTATCATACAGGTGTTAGGAGAACAGTTAAAACTTCGCCAACAAGTAATCGCTACGGCCACAGTGTACTTCAAACGATTTTACGCAAGGAATTCATTAAAATGTATCGACCCACTGCTTCTGGCACCTACGTGCGTATTTCTTGCGTCTAAAGTAGAAGAATTTGGTGTAATATCGAACTCTCGGCTTATCACAACGTGCCAAACAGTAATCAAGAATAAATTTAGTTATGCATATGGACAGCAAGAGTTCCCATACAGAACTAATCACATCCTTGAATGCGAATTCTACCTGCTAGAGAACCTGGACTGTTGTCTGATTGTGTATCAGCCATATCGGCCGCTGTTACTGTTTGTACAGGACATAGGACAAGATGATCAATTGTTGACTTATGCTTGGAGAATAGTAAATGATTCATTAAGAACCGATGTTAGTTTGCTGTACCCGCCTTATCAGGTAATTGTTATTACATGGTTTTATACCCTGTTTTTTTTTCAGAAAAGAATAACAAGAAAGTAATTGGTATATGTAATCTGTGGTATATCTAATCTGATATGACTTTCGAATCTTATAGAAAAGAGTGTACTCCTAAATTGCAGGCATACATGGGTATTGCTAGTCATTTTTTATTAGGCTAAGTGTCTGCTCATTTGCCGTTTGTTTCATAAAATAAATATTAATCCTCACATGCCGCTACACTGTACAACGCTTACTGGTGAAGGCACTTTACAGTGTAGCGGCATATCACGGCATGAGAAGTTAAAAGCTTGACTTATGTCTCAATGTGATTGTGTGATTCAATTGGAAGGGTAAGAGAGAAAAGACCTCTTTCATTTTATAGTACCTAAGTAATAATGTCTAAAAGTGAGGTAATTAAAAAAAATGATAGTAGCTTCTCTGTTTAGTGTGTAAAATGTAAATCTAAGTGTAAATAATTCAATGGAATTATTGCATTAAGTATAACAGCTGCCAGATTTCCTAACTAAGGTATATTACATTGTGCAATTATTCCTTAAATGTGGCAATGAAATTGAGAGTATTCAAAATTTAGATTGTAATATGTGAATGTGATTTATTTGTTGTAGATAGCCATAGCATCTCTCCACATAGCTTGTGTGATGCTTGGTAAAGAGAGCCATAAGCCTTGGTTTGCAGAACTCAATGTTGACATGGATAAGGTAAATAATCAATTCTAATATTATAAATGCGAAAGCAACTCAGTCTGTTACTCTAAATTGCTAAACCGGTTTTAATGAAATTTGGTATGTAGATACTTTGATCCTTAGAAGATTTTTTAAACCGCTATAGCCGACATACATGTGAGGGACATATGTTATATATATAACCTCTAAAAAGTGGCAGTAGCCTAGTGGTTAAGGCATTGGACTTGCAATCAATAATGTAATAATGATGAAGAAACACTCATTAATTTTTATTAAATTACCATTTTGTGCATTTGTTAATCTTCTATTACTTAACTACAACTTTGTAGTTTTGAATTTATGATAATGTTTGATAACAGTAGACTAACACAAAGTAGAAATATTATTTACTCTATAAAATGTATGTGACTGAGCAACTGTAATGGCTGAGCAATCATATTTGAATCATCCATGGCATCCTTAGCAATAAGCTGTCTAACATAATTATAAAAGATTTGGTCTTTATTTCAGATCCAAGAGATAGTAAGATCAATAATTAATCTATATGAAATGTGGAAGAGTTATGATGAAAAGAAGGAAATACAAGCCTTATTAGCAAAGATGCCTAAGCCAAAGCCGGCCCCCCAAAGATAATAGTAATTCTTTAGTTGTAAGAGTATTATATATGTATAAGGAGAGTTCCATGTCACAGGTGACTAAACCAATTTTGGAATTTATATAACTGTGGTAGGTTATGTGCTGAATAAGAATCACGTTGTCTTAAGGTGTGGTAAACTGAAGTGAAGAACTGGGCGGCTGAACTGTAATGATGCCAAGCACAATAGTGTGGTCTGACATTTTCTTTTATACTAACTAGTACATGACAACCTCTTCGCGCGGTGTCGGCTTCCCGTCCCCTGATTGACTTAGTATTTAGTTGTATCATTGTATTTAGTTATGAACTTGTGACAATAGTTATGCAGCATGCATACTATAGCATACTTAGGCTTTTACGACAAAAGAGAGTGCTCTATATTCAGAAGTTCATGTAACTCTGTAAAGATTTATGATGTTTTGAAAAGTAAGTTTTAGTTGATGATGAATGTAGGTGTGATCATGAGCTGGTGAGGGACTTCTGGCCTTTATAAATGCTTAATAATTTTGACAGTGTACATAATTAATTTACATGGTTAATCTAATAAGATGGTTCTAAAAAAATATATAAAACATTGCTGTCACCAGCAGTTTTTGTGAAGGTTCACCTGGTCTAGATTCTACATTCGATTTTAGAGATGATCTCTGAAGTTCGATAATCACTGCAACAGCTTCTAATTCTAACACACTAATCAAGATAACGGTCATGTTTACATTAGGCTCTACTTTTTGCCGTGTCACGAAATACTAGATGATAGTACTTTTTATAAAATATATTTTAAGCTACAGTTCCATCCAGCATCTCTAGGTTACAAGATATTTAATGAAAAAGTATAGGAATTTTTGTGATCACTTAAGGGAATGTACCTATACCTACTATAAGTGATATGACTGCACTCTGATTAGAGAAAGGCTGTGTCTATTTGTTGAAATGATATAATATTTACGAGTGGTAACAGAAATTCAAAGCCATTAAGCAGTTCTTCACGGCGATAAAAAATATTTATACATACATATCTATATATGTATATAATATATATATACACGGTGATTTTATAAGCGTTTTGGAAACGAAATATTTAAATTTAGAATCATCTATAGTACCAATAAAAGTGATTAAATCAATTGTAATGTTGTCTAAAAAAAAGTTTTAGTTTTAATATTAATTTTTACTCGATCGACTGATCATTCATTCATTATCTTATGTGAATGAAACACGTCCGTGGGCGTTTCGGCGGCCGCTGCGCACCGCTGACGCTAACAGCAGCTGATAAAAGTATACCTATAGGCGCGAGCTAGCGAGTACTCACGTAGATAGACTCCAATTTGTCCTTCATACTTTACACGGGCTTAGGACCGTCGGAAATACCTATTTTATTTAAACTTCTTTTCGATTATTAACCACGATTGTTCTTTTCACAACAAATCAATTTATCAACGGACTGTAGGTATAAATATTTCAGGCGTATTTAAAAAATCGGAGCTATCTACAGAATAATTAACTTACATACCTATTTACACTATTTACACTTCTCTGTATCGAAGCAACTGCTCAAAATGGAGTCTGCTGCATTCAATACACAAACGTCCACGTTTAATGCAGTGCCGGATTAAGCCAGCGCGGGGCCTGTAGCAAATTCTGTCAAGAGGCCCTTCGTTTGCTATAGTTTCTCAAGTTAAAGGGTATTAAATAAAACAAAACTATTACAAATAAACTTTTCTGCATTTAATATGGGCAAATTTAGAGATAACACTTTCACTATCGACTTCTTTAAGCAAATTATACTCTATATTCATCAAAGTAAGGTGATTAAGACGTTCTTGGCCCATCGTGTTTCTTAACTCGTTTTTAATACGTTTTAACGTTGAAAAAGAACGTTCGCCACTGCAGTTAGTGATCATGAGAGACAAGTAAATGCGCAAGGCAATTTCTACGTTTGGGAAACACGATTCTAAGGAATTATTTAATAAAAGTTTATAAAATTGCAGTTCCAGAGACTCTTGTTTCTTGCTATCAATAACAGTAGCCACATCTGTTTTCAGCAGTTCAGCGAACTGCACTAATTCGTCGCCTAGGCTACTTTCCAAATCATCTTCGTAAGCACTGACCATACGTGAGGCGTTTTCCAAAATCTCTTCTGTTGTAAGGGATTTTAGCTGTCGAAATATTCCAAAAACACCAGTAATTTCATGATATGCTTCCATACGTTTAGTTAAAGCAGACAGTACGTTATCAATAATGACAATAAACACCTGAATTTCAAAACGTTGTCCAGGTGTTTGATTTTCAACAAAGTTGTCGAGTGTAGTAGAGCCGGTGAAATGGTCGCACTTTGTATTCCGCTTGCTTCGTCTTGAAGTCTGTTGCTGATACTCTTCACAGTCGGTCAGATCTTTGGCTTTTGCCTCAACATCTGAAAATGTAGATCGCATTGCTTGTACGTAGGCATATACTGTTTCATAAAGGGCGTATCCTGTGTTAAGGTCTTGATCAGACGACTGCAGCGAAGCACTAGTCGCTTGCAAGCGTTCTAGGATTCGGTTCCACATAATTGTCATTATTCCCGTTTCTAACTTATTCATCGTTGAAACTAGTCCGTAAGCTTTATTACGGCACTCTGCTTTTTGATCTACATTATTGAAAATGTCTTCCAAAACTTGCTTAATAGTGATAAAACCACATAAAAGCGCCTTCGTAGCATCAGCTCTGGCTGACCACCTAGTGTCCGATAACCTTTTCAAAATCGGAATTTTTGAAGTAGAATCTTTCAAAGCGTTCGTGAGACGACTCCATCGGTAGGTAGAAGCAGAAAAAAACGTGTAGAGGTTTTCAACGAAATCGAAGAAAAGTAATGCTTCTGTACAGCAGTCTGCAGCGCACTTAGCAACCAAATTTAAGGAATGTGCAAGACAGGGAATATATTCTGCGTATTTATTTATTTCCTTAATTCGTGCTTGTAAGCCGCAGTATTTCCCACTCATGTTGCTGGCATTATCGTAGCTTTGCCCACGACAATCTTTGATATCAATGTCACTCTCACTTAAGAAATCTAATAAACTTTGAGCGAGTTGTTCAGCAGTATGACCTTCCATGTCTAAGAACTTAACGAATCTTTCCACTGGTCCAGATGGTAGAACATAGCGCACTATCAGAGTCAGTTGGTCTACATGCGATATATCTGGAGTAGAATCCAATGAAACTGAGTAGTATTTGCATCTCTTAATTTCGCAAATTATTTGATCCAGTATGCTTGATGCAATTAGATGAATAAATTCCTCACAAGTTGTTTTTGATAAATATGACGTATGTCCTTTTCCTTTATTAGCATAACTTTGAATATGTTGAGCCATAAAAGCGTCAAATTGGGCTATTAATTCTAATAAGCCTAAATAATTGCCATTGTGGGGGGAACCAACAATTTCGTCACTACCCCGAAACGCAAGACCTCGTTCTGCTAAAAACTTTATTACTGCAATGATTCGTTTTAAGAGTAGCCTGCAATAATTTTGCTCAGTCTCAATTTGGCTCACAAGTTGAGAATCAACACGCGTATTCTTGTTTTTGAGCTTTACCAGCGAAATTATGGCTTGTCTATGTGGAGTGCTTTCTTCATGTCTTGTCAACAAATTGTGCGCATTCTTCCAGTCATCTAATCCATCTTTCGTAAACCGTGGTGACGAAGTATCTGAATTCGTAACTTTGCAAACAAAACAGAAAAGTCGTCCTTTGGTTTCCGAATAACACAACCAGTCTCTGACATGAGTTTTATTCGTTAGTTTATGTTTATAGCTGAAAAAGGACTTTTGGCAGAATCGTGGCTTATTTTCTTTTTCGTAAATTTTCTTTGAAGACAAAAAATCGCTATTCATATGTTGCAGTTCGCTGCTTCCTTTTGCAATCCAATAATCTCTATCGAAGTTGCTCGGCCATTCACCAATATCGTTGGAGTATATTTTACTTTCGTTTTGTTTTAGACTTGAAACTGTAGTGAAATCATGCAATAATATACCATCGACTGCTTTTTGGCTTGAACATGACGGCTCTGGATCAAGAGTACTGGCTGTGCTTTTAACTTCTCTTTGGCTAGAGCATGATATAACTAAATTAGAAGGAATTGCTGTCTCTTCAGCTACAGCATCACTTGTAGAAAATGTAGTTTCATTAGAAACAGTAGTAGTAAAACTATTATATGTACAATGAGATGCAACTTCTGTATGTTTTGCTTTATTTTCAGTAGATTCAGCAACATCACTCTGAACATTAAAAAAGTCGAACAGCTTACGTGTTTTTGATAAAACAGCTTCGTTCTTTTTTTCCTTTTCGTCTTTTGCTTTACGCTTAGCACTTCCAGAAGCATAGTGTCGACCGGTATCTCTAGATCTGCTGCTCATGTTACCTATGGTTAGAAAAATATTTTTTTAATTAATTGTTTATCTCGCCGATATTCGGACCGGGGCCTCAGACGCCGCAGGCAGGCTCACTACCAACCATGCCATTCGTTTTATGTGAAGCAAATGGAGTCTATGTGAAAGGCTCGACTGTACATTTATTTATCCAACGTTATAAATAAAAAAAAATAACTTGACAAATGCTATTTATATGTATTAAATAACTTACAAAAGTTTTATAAAAGGAATCAAATTTAATACGACATTAAAATAATCAAAAATGTTGCATAGAATAATAATTTTTTTTAAAGGACATGAAATGTAACTTTCTTTATACAACTTAAATGAACGAAAATTAATGAGATTGAGGTATTTGTTTTTATTTATATGCGTTTATAAAGTTTGACTCCGCAAATGTTAAGAGTTACTAAAAATAATTTGAAGTGAATATGCAAAACATAACTAGTAAAATATCTTACCTTAAGTGAAATTATTTTCGTTTATGCTTTACTTCATTTACTACGTACAAAAACAAAAACTCTTCTACTGTGTTTTAAAATAGATAATCGTATGAGTTGCTTTTGCTTACAGCGCAAAGTCAGGTTAGAAAA